GGCGGGCTTCCGAGCCAACGGGCCACCAAGGACGCCCCCCCCCCCCGGCTTTCTTTTTGACCACACCACCTGGCATGGGGGAATCTTAGTTCCTCAACCAGGGATTGAACCAGTGCCCCCTGCAGGGGAAGCATGGAGTACTAACCACTGGACCGCCAGGCAATTCCCTGGCGACCCCATTTGAAATAGTGGTGCCCCACTCCTTTTCTCCTTTGCATTACAGAATTTTTGGTCATAGCACTTATCATTCACCTCCTGATATAACAGACATTTGTTTATACACACACACATACACCCCTATGAATGTAAACTCTGAAAGGCAAGGGCCTTGGTGTTTGCTGCTATACTCCACAAACACCTAGAAAAGTGCCCAGAATATAGAAGGGGCTTAAAAAAAATTTTTAATACTGAATTAATGAATTAGTTTCACTATTCAACAACCCAGCACTAGGTGCCTGAGATACAGAAATGAAAGGGCAGATTCCCTGCCTTTGATTTCCTCCTAATCTTCCCTTTAGGTGAGCCTACAGTAATTAGTGAAATCACTCTTATCTAGTGGTATGCTAGGGCCCACTTGCACTGGTTCATACTTGCTTGCAAGAGCTGATTGTTAAAAAAATGTTCAGTAATTTTGTGGGCTGGTTTTTAAATACAGCTTCTCTTAATTGTAATTTTACAATTAAGCCAAAAAGCAATTAAGCAAAAGTAGTAAATAGTCATCACTTCCTAATTATTTTACTACATTTTACTATTATCTCTGCTCTTGAGGTTATTTACATCTGTTGTACCTGAATAGTGGAAATAAGATATATTGGCATCCTACTGCCCATCTCTTTCCAACTCCCTTTTTTAATGGCATCATGTTGGTAGCTTGAAACTGGCTGTGGTAGGAGTATTTACACCGTGTAAATCAGCAAACTCTACAAATCCGGCTCTTACCTTCCCCCCATACACCACTCCCCTAAGACTCAGTTGTTTAACATGTACCAACTCACCACTATTCCTACTGCATGTTCCCAGGGCATCCTGCCATTTATCAGCCATAGTGCTTGTCAAATTCCATTTCAATTGTTAATGTTTTGCCTTCCTCAACTAGACCGTGAGCTCCTGGTTGACGAGGACTATATTTGACATCTGTGTTCAAAGCACAGCTCGGAACACTGTGTAATAGACGTTCAACAGCTTCCCCTTGCCAACAGCCTCCAATCAGAGCACACCTGAACCCTTCCTCTTTTTCACCATAAAGCTTTTCCACTCCCCTGCCTGCCTCTGAGTCTGCCAAATGCAAGTGGTAGTAACTAACTCTCTTGCACTACCAAGTTCTGAATAAATAGTCTCTGTTATTTGGATGGTCTACATTACTTTCCACAGTTTTGCTGAAGACTCCACTGAGACACGGACTGCACTGTCCACCACCATGGACCCCAGCCTTCAGCCAGATGAGGTTCTCACAGAGACCATAGTGCCTTGCCCCTTGTTGCTGTCAAGTCTGTGCCAACATGGTAAGTCAGTGCCGAATCTGAGCTCCACTATTTTTATGTTGAGTTCCTCAGCTATTTATTCTAAGTTTGGTACCCAGGTTTTGTTATTGCTTCCGATTTTGTTTGACATCCTTGGTGGAATCAGACCATTCCTTTTCATGCTTTTTGGTTCTCTTTTGTACTTCTGTTTTGTATTCAGCTGTCTGAAAGTGTGGTCATAAGAAGAAGAATCATGGGGTAGAACACAGGCATGGGCCCTGTAAGCTTGTTGTTTGAGCCAGCCTCACAGACTGATGAGTTTGCTGTTCTTACCAGACCGGCATACATTTGGACAAACTTCGTTGTGAGTCACCAGTAAAACTGGATGAGGTTCTCCTTTCCTCTTGATTTTTTGTCCTGAGAGCTTGCCTTTGATCAAGAGGGAGTTCACTCTAATTTTCCACCTGCCAAGGGGCACAGATTGTTGGGTCTGTGTTCAGAGGGGTCTTGAAACATGAAGAGAACAAACATCACTTTTAACCAACCATTGCCAGCTCTCCTGAGGTCATCAAAGCTTAAAACCTCTCCTCGTCTGGGAAAAATGGCTGCTTCTTATATGTATTTTTATTACAATCCTAATACTGGTGCCTAGTTCTCTAAATGGCGTAACGTCAGCAGTGGGTATTTGGGCCTTCAGTGGCCACTCTGGGGAACATTTGACTTGAATACATATTTTATTTGATAGGCACCTTAGAAAAGAAAGGGAATTAAGATTTCTCAGCCCCAATGGGCAGCTGTGTTTGATTAGTATGCAGAAGCCTCCAAAGGAAATTCTGGTTCGAAAAGTATTTCGCTAAAAGATTCTGTAGCCAAAGCCAATGAGCAATTTAACAAACTATTTTTTTTAAGATTTTATCTTTTTAAAAAATTTATTTATGTATTTATTTTTGGCTGCGTTGGGTCTTTGTTGCTGTGCGCGGGCTTTCTCTAGTTGCGGTGAGCGGGGGCTACTCTTCGTTGCGGTGCGCAGGCTTCTCATTGCGGTGGCTTCTCTTGTTGCAGAGCATGGGCCCTAGGTGCACAGGCTTCAGTAGTTGTGGTACATGGGCTCAGTAGTTGTGGCTCGCGGGCTCTAGAGCGCGGGCTCAGTAGTTGTGGCGCACAGGCTTGGTTGCTCCGTGGCATGTGGGATCCTCCTGGACCAGGGCTTGAACCCATGTCCCCTGCATTGGCAGGCGATTCCTAACCACTTGTGCCACCAGGGAAGTCCCAATTTAACAAACTTAAGCAACAATAAAGTAGACTCCTTTCGTAGTAAATCCTCCTCATCCTGTTGCCTCCCTACATCCAGATGTCCCTCTTCTTCCTTGTCCTTGTGATCTCATCAACTCTTCCCTTCTCTTCCTCTTGTCCACACCCCCTCCCTACTCCCAGAAACTCTCCTAAGAGTACAAAATGCCAGTTGCCTCTAAAGATCCATCCCTCCTGTGAGCCAGATATATGGGCAACTGCATAATTTAAACTTTGGACCCAAGATGAATTAAGAGCTATAATTAAGCATCTCTGCTGCCATATAAGACCAGCAACTACTCATAGGAGCATTTTAAATTAGTTTGGGTGCATATGATTCAGGGTTACCTAACCTATATCAACTTGTACACATGTTGGTCAGAACCTCAGAACCTCAGCTAAATCTTGGATGGCAAAGCTGATTGGATTGACCCAGAAAGGCATCTACAGAATCTCTCTTTCTACAATAAACCTGTCCAAAAGAAAAAGAATCTAAAATCTATATATATATTTGCAAAGCAGGACAAAGTCTCCTAAAAGTACTGTAGTATCCCCAAACATTTCCAATAAAAATTTATTGGACCATAATTGAACCATACAAACAGAAAAATGATGAAAATATAGGAGATTTCCATGATTTTCTAGTAGAAAGTACCTTCTGACAACACTCAAGAGTTAATGAAGGTGCCAGTTGTAAAAGTAGTCCTTACATCTCATTTTGTCAATGGGGTTAAACCTGAAACTAGAAGCCTAATTCAAAAGTAGAAATTAGAATGGGAAATAGCTCCTTTGCCTGAACTAAAACACCTGTCAGAACATTTTGAACAGCTTTAGATAAAAGTAAGACAGAATTCAAAATAAACTAGAATCATGCAGACTCAACAGCTAGGTGGCCCACTTCCCAAGCAACTATTTTTGACAAGGTAGATATTGTAAACAAAAAGGACACTGGAAAAAACAATGTCCCATCCTATAAAAGAAAAACCAAGATGAAGAAAATCCCTCAGTTCTGATCTATGGGAGTGCTCTGAAAAAGGAAAACGCTTTCAATATCCTGACTTACCCTTAAACACTCAACTTGAATAAATATAGATGGCCAACCTCATCAATTCCTGGTGGATAGGGATGCTACTCTTACTACATTAAACACCATCTCTGCTCAACCTCTTCCTCAGAGTAACCATACACACAAGTGACAATTCTTTCAAATAACCCACAGATATTTCCTATCTCCCAGCCCTTAGCTGTAACCCTTGACCCCTTGAATAAAAAACATTCCTTCCTCCTCTGTGATACCACCCTGCAAATTTAATAGGGAGAGATTTACCTTGCAAATGGAATTGTAATATTAAATACACAACAGAACGACTATTAAAGTTCCAGAGGACTCTTCT